TGCCCTTGGCATGCTACAGATCGGCACAACACAGGCGGTTGTGGCGCGGACGATGAATGTTTCTCAGTCTGTCATAAGCAGGCTATGGTCCAGATACCGTGATACACAATCTGTACAGGACAGACCACGCTCAGGTCGACCAAGGGCGACAACTCAAGCCCAGGATCGATTTATCCGTACCTTGGCCTTGAGAAATCGTGTCATCACAGCAAATCAGATCAGCGCTCGTCTTCAAACAGACACTGGTGTGAGAGTGAGTGGTCAGACGATTCGGAATCGACTGCATAGGGGTCACCTTCGCGCCCGACGTCCTCGCGTGATCCCTTTTTTGAGAGATCATCACATTCAGGCAAGACGTCGTTGGTGTAGGGATCGTCAACACTGGGATAATCGACGCTGGAGCAATGTGATGTTTTCAGATGAGTCAAGGTTCACTGTTGATTTTTTGGACAGACGTAGGAGGGTGTGGGGTCGTCGAAACGAGCGCTTCCAAGACGTTAACGTCATCAGACATGATCGATTTGGGGGTGGTTCTGTTATGGTGTGGGGAGGCATCACTGTTGCTGGAAGAACGGCTTTACATGTTGTTGCAGGGCGTGTTACAGGCCAGTACTACCGGGACAACATCTTGGCAGTCCATGTTGTGCCGTTCGCACGACGTCATGGCCGCCGTTTCATCTTCCAGGATGACAACGCAAGATGTCACAGGGCCAGGATCGTTACAGGTTACCTCCAACAACAGAACATCACCACATTACCTTGGCCAGCACTGAGTCCCGACCTCTCCCCCATCGAGCATGTCTGGGACATGCTTGGACAGAGGTTACGTCAACGTCAACAACATCCTGCCAATGTCCAAGAACTTGCTGCTGCGTTGCAACAGGAATGGGACAATCTGGACCAAAATGACCTTAGACGTCTCATTAGGAGTATGCCACGTCGGATCAATGCTTGTTTGGCAAACAGAGGAGGATTTACCCGTTACTGACTTGGTTGTGATGCTGTGGTAACTTTGCTGTTTATCCCCGGGTATCATTTTACCCTTATAATGGTCAGTCTGTGCCTTACTTAGTCTAACGATCATTTGGAATAAATCGATGAATGTGAACTTCATTTCATTTTGTCATTTGTTTCTTCGTCAGTTTCATTAGGTGACTTTAATAACACTTAAAAATCAAATATCCCCTACTTTTTTTGAATAGTATAATATACATCTTATCAGAAATCCACTTCTTAGGTTACATGTCTAAAAAAGGTTCCTACATAAAAAGTAATAAAAGAAAATGTTTAATGCCTTCTTATTTTACTTATAATTTTTTAAAACTGATTTAAATCTTTTTTTTTAGAATTATAATGAATTGGATTTGTGTCAGATACACTTAATTACTTCTTTGGTGCTATAAAATTTGAGGCTTGTCATATTGGAAATATGTCATAAAATGTAATTGAAAAGTAATTGAAATGTACATGTAATTGACCATTACATGATTTTTGGAATGTAATTAATTACATTTCCATTACTCATTACTTTTTAAATCTTCCATTACTCATTACGTGGCCATTACTTAAAAAATGTAATAATTACATTCCATTATCCATTACCATTACCCCAGCCCTGCCTTCACTAAAAAGAGTTCAGACGATCCAAATTATATCTGCTTTAACAAGGTACGTAAATATGAATATGTCAGAAAATATTTTACAATTTTGAAAATGTATTCGGACCTTTTTAATGGTATGCATCCCGATATCTTGTATTTTGTGTTATGGCCCGTATTTTGACGATAAATACCCCCACCCCCTCCACATTTAATACATGGTAGTGCCACTTCAATTTTGTTCTTTTTTCAAGATACATGTATGTAACTACAAATGTGCAAGAAAATAATTTACATTTCGTAGCAAACAATAAACATACTTTCAGCTGCATATGAACAGATATCGAGAATTTCTAATCAAGATCATTTTTTTTACTTTAAATATCCAGCCCCTCCCCTCACTTAACAAAGTTTAGTACCGTGGAACTTTGATCTCTTTTTAAGGTATATAAATATAAATGTGCCAGAAAATAACTTGAAAAGTTGTCCACTATTAAACTCTATTAATACGGGTCATACTACGACATTCCAGATATCAAACAGAATACTACTGAAAGAAGTTTCATTTACCTTTTCAGAACTGTAAATTATATTCTGGCACATTTATATTCATATACCTTGAAAAGGGTATTACAGTGTGGGTGGGGATATATAAAAGTTTAAATACAAGTACCGGTTATTGTATAATGCATGAGTGGAAAGTATTTATTTATTTATCCCTCTTTCAATACATTACTTATTCCCTGGCACATTCATGAGTATATGATTTAGAAGAGATTAAACACTCTTTCGTTTGAGAAAAGAAATAATTATGTCACTATCAGACAAAACCTAATTTCTGAAAATAAACTACTTTCCATTCATTTTCTTTCTCAAAGCCCGGCCCGATTAGCCATACTACGCGCGTTGTTTCACTAGTCACGGTCATCGAGCGATTTTTCTTATTGTGTATATGCCCGCTCGATTCCCCATTATTGTATGGTGACTTATTGTATGCCAGGTTGATTTCTGCTCATGTCGTCATAATATTCCGGTTCAATGGATTTCAAGAAATGTTTTTAGAAAGAAATGTTTTTGGAGAAATGTTTTGTAAGATTTGTATTTGGAGATTTGTATTTAGAAATTTTTTGTTCCAAATTTGTTTTTCGTTGTATTTCTCTGATGAAATGTATGTGTAGGCTAATTTTTTACTTTCTAAAATAAATTTTATCTTTATATTAAAATACAATTAAAATACATTTTATAAATTTGATATGACAAATGTCTGATTTGTAAAACAAATGTTGATTTTAAGATACAAATGGTAATTTTAGCGTACAAATGTCAAAATACGACAACAAATGAAGAAATAAGATGAATTAAGAAATAACGACTAAGAACGCTGAATAAAGAGCTGTTTGGTCTGCCATACTCTCCTATATAGCTTTGTCTATACATGTACCATGTTTATCATTGTTTTGAATGGTGAGATATTGTTTACTCCAACCATTACATGTATTATATACTAAATATTTATCTTATTCCAGAATTTTATGTGTAGGCTAATTTTTTACTTTCTAAAATAAATTTTATCTTTATATTACAATACAATTAAAATACATTTTATAAATTTGATATGACCAATGTCTGATTTGTAAAACAAATGTTGATTTTAAGATACAAATGGTAATTTTAGCGTACAATGTCGAAATACGACAACAAATGAAGAAATAAGATTTAATGACTATGAATTAATAAATAAAGACTAAGAACACTGAATAAAGAGCTGTTTGGTTTTCCATACTCTCCTATATAGCTTTGTCTATATATGTACCATGTTTACCATTGTTTTGAATGGTGAGATATTGTTTACTCCAACCATTATTATATACTAATATTTATCTTATTCCAGAATTCTTTTAATTTCATAAATATGTAAGACTACTGAAGTCTAACGTGGAATTAATATTTCGAATCTACTATCACATTATTAATAAACACAAAAACATAATATGGAACACAATTACTAATTAAAGCAACGTTTCGTTGAGGGTTCTCTCAACATTTTCAAGCAAAGATTTGCTTGAAAACGTTGAGGGCGACGTTTCGTCGCTTTAATTAAAATAGTAATTGTGTTCCATATTATGTTTTTGTGTTTATTACATATGTCAATTGCTAAATGCCGCTCAAAGAAGATATCACATTATTGTTAAGAAATTCGTACTTCATCTAGAAAGTGGCCCATTAAATATGTGTATCCTATAAATAACGTTCTCTCGACCAAAATTCATTTCTTGAAAATTGAATTCCCCATGAGATATACTGCCACGTCTGCCAGTAATGTTTGTATCCAAAGTAGAAAATAGATATCCTGTCATATTACGAGGTAATCACATAATTATAAATAAATAGAATAATCCAAGCTTTGGGTTGATTTGGTGGGATTTAATCTCATCAGAAACAAACGGAAATACACTATTGTTGATAAACACTTCATCATAATATTTCTTATATCAATCATCTTACATAAAGACATTTTCCTATTAGCAATATCTAAGACTACAATGGGTTTTTTCAATTTCTATCGATGATGATGTCATGTTTAAAGTAGCTAAGTCTCTAACTCAATATCATACAAAGTCTTCGACATTGAAAACACAAATTATTTGTCAATTTAAATCAAGTTTGGTGCTGTGATCTTACCGGGAAAAGATGGGCTTCTGATATGCAATATTTAAGACAATCGTGTACCATGATGCGTTTCAGCGCCATTTGTAGCAAGGGACTCGAAAAACGAGGCTACACATATTCCACAAGCCATATGTCAAACGGTTCTTATCTGGAGAGCATGCGCAATAGATACTATCGGTGTAGACTGGAATAACCAGATGCTAAAGATTACCAGTCGATTGAGACTTCTGACGTATCACTGAACATAACCGATTATAAATTACAGTAAAAACAGAAACGATTGAATGTAAATCAATTTATATACATTCATATTACATTATTATGTACGTTAGTGACCCATTTGTGTCAATTTCTAGGTCCCAAATAATAGCGATTTAGCTCCTATAGTTACTAAGAACTAAAATATTTACAAGGTATAAAACACATTCATTTAATATTGATTTTTAGTGAATACATTGGCGGTTAGTCATCGTCTTGTTTATGTATCAACGCTATTCGGTTAAAATAGTGAAAGTTTAATCAAATGTGGATATTCTGCAAATGCTACTTAAATACTTAAAATAGAGCATGTCAATGGCCATTATCAATATAATAATATAAATGTATTTAAATTGTATGAAACTTAATGAAATACGTGTTTACGATAATATAGACCTACGTCGTCATGTAGGCCTAGGCAACCTACGAAAGGTTGATAATTGTCACACAATATTAGGTGCTCTCCCATTATTTCATAATGAAATGCTCTGACTTCAGCTACTTGAAGAGGTTATTAATCGGCCTACCGTACGTATAGTGTTACTAGAAAGAAGTGTGTCACGGTATAAAGACCAGGTAAGGTTTGTGTACCGGTACGTAATGATCTGCTATTAGTATTAATACACCGTTACATACAAACCTTACTACATTATACATAGTTTATAATACACACACCAAAATCAAACAATTACCTGATAGTTCCAGGCATTCTTCCACTTCATGAATATGATCATATTTATCCGAATCTGTACCCATTTTGAGTGTATTTTTTTTAATCCACAGATAACTTTACATTCATGAATTTAACTAAACCACTGTTTACTCAGTTGTGTTCAGTTCACGACTGCGCATGAATGAGTATCCAGTGTCCGCCTACAAGTTCGCATTATTCATAACACTACCAGTACACGTACAGATGATGTAAACCCTACTAGTACTATAACATACATTAAAGTCCATCTTGTGTATTTGATGGCTTATACTTTTAATTGGCACTTGAAATTTGTGCAGTGATGAAGTTTTAATGGCTATTATCAAAATTGCAGTTGACTTTTCATGTTGATTTTAAAATTACGTCTAATGACCTTTACCCCTTACATGTGTAAATATAGAGTAAATGTTTGCGTAGATTACGAATATGCAATCATTTTGGATCTAAATTGTATTGTTCTAATTTTTATTTGGCCTCCCATATGAGAAAAAAATGGTTATTCCGCTTTACAGATTGGAATATTGGGCTTTGACAAACAGATTAAAATTACTTCTGAAAGACTTCTAGGCCCCTTATATTTGTCATTTTAGAGCAACTTATTATGTAGAATAAGAATACAGACTTATTTTGGCTACAAGGAGTATCGTTTCAATTTAATTTTTCTTTCAAAAACAGGGGAAAACTTGTTTTGTCTGCTTAGAAAGTTGAAGTACAGTAATGTTGTTACACTATCACTAAACACCTGAAAACTATAGGCCGCAATTCTTACCGCATGGTCTTTAAACTTTGCATACTTATTCCTTACACCCAAAGGATGTTTCCTATTGTTTTTGGTGCATGCCCAACCCGGGTCAGAGCCACACCCATTTTTTCTTTGTGTGTCTGTGTGTTTTGCCTACAGGCCGCGATTCTTTATGGAGTCTTGAAAACTATTCATATATTCCTTATATCCATAGAATGACTGTTAATATTTTTGGTGCATGCCCGACCCCCAGGAGCACAACACACTTATATAGGCCTTTGCCTATTGTTCAATCCATTTCAGTTTATTGAATAAAAGATTGTTTAAACTAACACCAGGTTTTTGTGTTATCGTCCACAGGCTGCAATTCTGAGCTTTTGGTGCATACCTGACCCCTGTCACGTTCCAGGATGATCCATTCAGAATTGCGGCCCCAAGGCGATAAACATAAAAAAATGACCGTTCCTGTGACCCTGGGGGTCGGATATACACCAAAAATAATAGCAGTCACCCTAAAGGTATAATAAGGAATAAGTATGAAAAGTTTTCAAGATGATCAAAACACACAGACACACAAAGACAAAATAGGCGTGCCTCTGCCCCTGGGGGTTGGTCATGCACAAAAAAACAATAGCGATCATTCTTGGGGTATAAGGAATAAGTATGCAGAACTTCAAGAATCCATTAAGAATTGTGGCTTGTAGGCGACAAACTGACACATACAAAATTGAGCGTGGCTCTCTGTCCCTGGGGGTCGGGCACGCACCAAAAACAATAGGGAACATCCTTTGGGTATAAGGGAAAATTAGTATACATAGTTTCAAGACGAAGCGTTAAGAATTGCGACCTGTAGTTTTGAGGCCGTACTGAAATATTCTAAGCAGACAAAACAAGTTTTCACCTGTTTTAAAAGCAAAACTAAATTGAAATGATCCCAAAAGAGTCTGTAGTATTATACTATCTTAAGAGTTGATCTAAAATGGCAAATTTGAGGGACCTAAGTCTTTTAGAAATAATTTTAATCTGATCATCAAAACCCATTATTCCAATTCGTGAAGCGTATTAACCATTTTGTTCTCATTTTGGACACAAAATAAAATTAGAACAATACAATATATCCATTACATATTTGTAATCTACGCAAAAAATCACTCTAAATAGACACGTTTGATGAGTATAGGTCATTTAGAAGTTATTTTAAAATCAACGTGAAAAGTCAACAATTTTTATAACAGCCATAAAAAGTTCATCACTGCACAGATTTCAAGTGCCAATCAAAAATATAAGCCATCAAATACACACGATGGACTTTAATGTATGTTATAGTAGGGTAATTCAAGTTTTATTATCAAATATTTTCAGAATTTTAACCTCTGTCCCACATTATCAAAATTGAAGGTGAAAATGGGTATATTTTGTACGTTTTCAGCGTGCATTGAATTTCGAGACTGAATATTTGGAAAAGTATATATCCCATCGACATAGAATCTTTTGTAAATTGACATAAGACAAACTGACATTAACTATGCCAATTTTGGAGTTTGTGTATACAATAGTGACTTTGCCAGAGGCTGTGGAAATCCTGAAAATAAAAGTGAATAGTTCATTATTTTGTTCCACAATTTGCCACCTGGACAATGAGTGTGATGCTTAATTCATAATCTACACCAAAAGTTGTCTTAGATTACAAAGTTAGAGAGTTCTACTCCTATTAGAAATGTGAGTTTAAAGCATCCGAAAACCTGAAAAAAATTACTGAATTTATATTTTCCTTTTCAGTACCCTAATTTCAAATGGCCATATCTCAGCAAGTTTCCAACCTAGAGAGGTAAAATTTCGGATTTCTTAGTTTAAGGCAATATACTATAACATATTTTTAATATTTTTTTGGGAGGTGGTCATGTTCCCACCATTGGTCCAGTTGATATAGAATGGCCCATATGGGTTCATTTTTGGAGGGTGGGTTGAATGGCCGAGTGGTTAGCACATGCGCGCTGTATCATACGGTTTGTCATTGAGTCAACTGGCGTGGTTTCGATTCCCCGCCCGGTTGTACGTGACAGGGAGTAGGGTCGCCTGTCCAACCGAGTGGGTTTTCTCTGGGTCCTCCGGTTTCCTCCCATTGCTAAAGACCCCTACGCACAGGCGAATTATTGAAATAAACTGAACCATGTGTTAATCCCGAAATGACCTAGTTTGTGCCGAGTGGACGTTAAATCCCATTTCTCTCTCTCTCACTCTCACTGTTGGAGACTACCCACATCGCTCTATGAACATAAGTTAAAAAATATGGGTTGGTAAAATATATCTTTTGCAGACCAACTGTTCAAACTGATCGGCGAACGCCAACCCAGCCGACCAGGTAGCAAACTGCATAGGACGTGTACTATTTGATTATTACAAGAAAACAAATATAGTTATAGGTGTAAAATATAGTTAAAAAATGATTGCTATTTACAAGATCTTTAACTGCTAATTTGATTGATATCCCTGTTTCAATTCTTAATTGCTTATTCTGAGGTCGGTCCTACTGAGGCCTGTAATCGAATTTTGCCACATGTGGGTTGGCAAGGGAAGTGTGCCCAGTCATTTGGAAATAGAGTAACCATTGACAGTTAAGAAAGCAGATAAAGATAGTCACTAAAAGCTATGTCTCGAAAGAAAGATAGCCATGGACTGTAGACAGCTGAAAATCCGAAAGAAAAACCTGGATGATGATAAGGGTCCTTAATGTCTTCAATAAATCTGATCTCAAGGTTTTATGGACGCATAGGCTAATAGATCTCTGGACCAGAAAGTCACAGAATATTGAAAATCAATAGTCTACGAGTTATTCATTAAAACCTCTAGGCTCTACCACATGCACAGTGTTTTTGAAAGGTCGCTTAATGCTGACAATCAATAGGTTTCGTCCTGGCATGATCCCAATTCACATCAAATTTGAAAAACAGTAAATCCGGAGCGAAAGGTCGAGTAATGTTGATCATCGACAGGATTTTTCCACTCGTGACTTAAATGTTTCACCCCCAATTTGAAAAATGTTCATCAAAATTGTAGCCACCATCGCATCCACATTAAATTAAAGTTTCACGGAAGTGGGCGTGGGTGTGTGTGTGGGGGGGGGGGAGACACACAAATAAAAGTAAAAAGACAAACCTGTGGACAAGACACAGCACAAAGCTCACAGACATTGCAAGCAATGAACGACGAATATCAATTATGTTAATAGGTTTCTCCACTCGGCCCCAATTCTTGACACCTGTATTCGAAAAAAAAAGAGGTGGTGGGTGTAACTCTGCAATGAAATATCAATAGGGTTCGTTCTCTGAAGACCCCAATATGCTTCTCATCAAATCTGAAAAAAAAAATTGTTCACAAGCCAAGTTTTCTGCAATGATGAGAAACTATTTTACAATGAACAGTGGTCTGTACCATCTGTAAGCTCAGATTTATTTCCCCTGAATACTACGCAAATAATAAAGTGAAAGTGGTCTGAGTTGATGTGGAGATTTGTATTTCATTTTAAACCATTTATTTCAAACCTAATACCGACCCACACGCTATTTCGCGAATTTAAAAAGGGCTATTCAGTTTTAGATTTACCTTGGGCAAGCCTTTGCCCTGAACCGAAACGCATTTACCGCAAATTACACCGGTTTATACCATAACCTTACCCGGTTAAACATTACTTGAACAGAACAGTACATTACATTAAATATTTACAAAATTTCAAGGCTAAAACACCCCTCTAGACTTTGGAAATGTTATTACGATCTATGCATCCGAATAATCCTTATGGAGTTTTGCGTCTAATGCGCAAACCTTCCATTCCCGAACGTTCTTCCTGCCTAGACCGGAGACATCATTTATTTTATTTTACCTAGCTTTACTGTTTCAATTTTAGGAATCTTTCGTTTCATTACTTTCATTATTTATTTCCTACGTTTATAGAAAGTTACCCATGTTTAAACCTAAACCTTATTTACTTAACATTGTATCGTATCTACTACGTAGCACTATGCACACTGATCCGCAGTGAATATTTGCTTGGCCGCGACAATCACTGATAAGGATGACATTGATGCGGCTTAATGAGCTAGAAATATTAACTTTTTTTCCTGCGACAAATTAAATTCTAAAACATTTTTTGTATATATTGGAAAAATAAATAAAGGCGTTTGACGTATTTGTAGTTAAAAATTATTTCCGATTTAGTGTAAATGGGTATTAAAATGACTAAAATGCAGCATTCTCTCCGAAGCAGTTATGTCTTATGTAAACAATGCACGCGCCATTCAGCCAATGATTCACACCGCGTGCTGTGACAGCACGTGTTAAGGCAGTCATCTATGACAGAGATATTATACGAGACTCGTAATTCTCTGTGAAACAGATTGAGCACTATGCAGTTGTATGAGTAGCTGGTTAGATGTGGAAATCCCTCCAAACCCCACATCCAACGTGTGACGCATACTCTCTCCTCTGCTACATATTTTAATAGCCTTGTGATCGTCCTTTTTTAAAAATTTACTTTTTTCCCTATTTACTTAATTTAATCACTTTAACGTTTTAACGTCCTTTTTAACCTTTATTTTTTTTCTGCAAATTCCTAACCTCTAAAATGTCATTAACCCTATCCCTTGGTCTTTTTGGCTTTCCTCTGTCAATTTACTAGGAAATCTGTACATAAAAACGACTGGAAACTTTTTCTTCTTGCAAGGATTTCCTCCAGGGTCGACATCCTTAAAGATACATTCCCGGGTATAAACTAGGTGATTTGATGATATATTTGTGAGAGACTGGATGATCATGATACGTGACATGTGGTTCGAGATGTGTGTTACGTCAATAGCTTAGCGCGCGCTCTGCACGGACTACCGGCGAGATGTAAACTTGCCGATTTCGCTCAGTTCAATTTCTATCATGTACGTTTGTTTGATTCCATCGCGGTAAGGGTCTATCCAATTGTGTATGTTTATTCTAATATACCTCTGTGCTCTAAAACTCAATCTGGTGTTTGTTGTTTCTGCCTTCGTCGGCATCGTTCAAGGGGATTGTGATAATTCAGTGACCCTGGAGATACCCGCCGCTACATGGTCCGACGAGACGGATTGAATCAGGATTCTGGATCGACACTCATTCAAGATTTGAAAATTTGGCTCAAGATACAGTCTTTATTCAAGTGTTCAGTCAGTGAAGTACAACCTCAAGAAAGTCAGTAGGCTTATTTAAATCATGGCTGAGGAGATTGTCAAACACAAAATTGCTCAAAGAAATGGACATCGAACGTCGGTCAAAAAGATTATTTCAAAATTAAATGATATTTTGAAACTTGAAGTCGATGAGAGTGCATATTTGGAAACCAGGGACACTCTAATTCGGTATAAATCAAAATTGGCTGCGAAGCTTGAAACATTGACAAAATTGGGTGGAAAAATCATGGAAATTTCTCATGCTGACAAATTATCTGACGAAATTGAGATCGCGGATTTATTTTCTGAATATATTGCATCATACACTGCAAAAACCAATCGTAGAATTCAAGAATTAGAATCAAAGTTTGAGAATATTAGGCCTAAGTCTGTTAGTGAAAACTCTGTTAAAGATAGCCAAAATTCGCCATCGGATAATTCGGACAAGCCAAATGCTGATATAATTAGTGTACATGATTCTGATTCGGTTTTGTGCCTGGGTCTCCAAAATTTTACTGGTAAAGCTACTCAACCTCAAGTTAAGTTACCTAAATTGACTCTCCAAAGTTTTGCCGGGGACTACGCACAGTGGCAACCCTTTGGGATACATTCGAGAACTCTGTACATAATAACCATCAGCTATCCGATGTGGATAAATTTAACTATTCAAAATCTTTTCTGAACGGTGATGCGCGTACCTCTATAGCCGGACTATCTTTAACTTCGGATAATAATTCAAATACTATAGCCATTCTCAAACGTAAATATGGAAATCGGCAACGTATAATTAGTAGACACACTTCAGATTTGGTTAACATCCCGGTGATATCAGATGTTAACAATTATCGGGATTTGCGACGTTTGTACGATAAACTTGAGGTTAATATTCGAAGCCTAGGTGCCATGGGCATTCAGTCATCAGCCTAAGGTACTATTCTTTCTTCAGTTATAATGAGTAAATTACCACATGAATTAAAGGTTGTCATCAATCGGGAAGTTAAAAATGATGACTGGGATTTAGAAACAGTTATGGAAATCTTTGAACGCGAAATCGAGGCTCGTGAACGCACGGATGTAGCAATGCCATCTAAAAATTTTGAATCTTCAAATTATAACAATCGGTTTCGTGGAAGACATTCAGGCCAAGGAAATTACAATCAATCGCATCGTCCCATTCAAGGCACTGCCTCAGCATTTTTGTCAAAGGAATCAACATTTTCCTGCACTTATTGTAGAGGTCCTCATCCATCAAATTCGTGTAAAACCGTACCGAGTATGTCCAGTTTGCGGTAGACGTCATCATGTTAGCATTTGTGAGGTAGCTCACAATCAACGTAATACGAATTCAAGCAATCTTAATCCACAAGCGTCTAACTTCAATCCATCGGGATCAGTAAATCAAAGACAGGATAATTTTAGAATCGCTCAAAGGAATAACCCATCGACTTGTATGTATAATATCTCTAAGCCTACAATTGATCATCGTTCATTAGTACATGTACTTCTTCAAACAGCGCGAGCTCAAACTTCAAATATAACTACTCCTTCTAATAAGATTTGGGCGAGAATAATCATGGACAACGGAAGTCAGAGAACTTACATAACCTCTAAATTGAGAGACGCTCTCAAACTATTT